AGCTTGAGGGTTAGACCCAAATGAAGGTCCCCAGAGATTCTCATGCATTGCTAGAAAGTGGTCTAAACCATATATATAGGCATAATAGGCTATAGTATATAATGATTACTGTCCTATAACATCTTTATTAAGCACTAAGCAAGTTAATTTTATAAGACAGTAGTTTGTTCTGAAGGAGAAGGCTGTTTGGGTCATAAAATAGAGGTTGCTGGGGAAAAAACCAAAAAAAAACCCACTGGTAACCACAGTTAAGTCATTGAAACTCACAGTCATCTGAACAATGTGCCCATCGCTGTGAATGAATATGAAGATCATAAAAATTGTCATTTTAGCTATTTACAAACCTCAATAATAGCACATCAGCACCTCCAAACACTGCTAAAACTTAACAACACATCTCACAATACAGAAATAAATGCACCCTCCCCTTATAATTTCCTAAAAATATAATAGGTTACATGTCAAATTGAACAAAATATTCAAACAAAATAATCGTGTGTACTAGTATGAGCTTGGGGCATGCTGCAGCCTTGAAACAGCTGACAATTCAAAACACACAGCAAGATGACTCAGTGTATCAGTCATTACTTCTCCAAATGCTTCAAGGTGTGTAATTACAAATAGCTTTGATTCTCACCTTACATACATGACAAGTATACTCTAAACATAATTGTTTAAGTGAAAACAAGAACAAATGTCACAGCTCAGATATCACAACATGCTACAAGCTATAAGTGTGTGTTCCTTTCTGTTTTTCTATCATAATTTTACCAAACAGATTCATAACATTTCTGTTGTAATCAATAACTTACTTCATTTTGGGTGATGACCGATGGAGGGCCACAACTGAGGTGTGACAGTGACACTTGTTCAATAGCTCAAATCATGATCTACTGCCACACTCTTGTATTTGCCTCAAGCTCTTGCTCAAATTTATTATCGATTTCTTTGGTAGACAACATGGCAATAGTTTTGGCAGGTACATTGACAAGAAAGCATGTCAGTTAACAGGACAGGCCATTAAGACATTTACCAAAGCTGTACTGAAATACTTTTGTCTAATAGAATATAACAGTAAACTAAACGGATGAATAGCCTACAAATAAGCCAAGGAAGGTTAGTCTATTTTTTTCTAGTAAAGTAATGAGCAGAGATTTCAATAAATCTTCACAAATTCAAGTAAATTAATAAGTAAGTACGTAAGTATTTATTTATATAGAGCTTTTCACAGACATATGTCACAAAGACACTTTACAGATCATTATTTATTCACTCCATACCTGGTGTGGTAAGCTATTTTTGTAGTTACAGCTGCTCTGGGGCAGACTGACGGAAGCGTGGCTGCCAATTTGCACCATTGGCCCCTCCGTCCACCACCATCAGCGGTCTCCCATCCAAATACTAACCAAGGCAAAGCCTTGCTTAGCTTCTGAGAACTGATGGGATCAGGCTTTGAGAAGCCGGTATGGCCATACAAGGACACAATTTTAATATGACAACGCAGCATTATGTATTTACAAACAGACTGAAAAAGTAATAATTCACTTTTTATAGGCATTTTATCTGTACTGAAGCAGTTTGGGTATAATGCAATTGCGCCCTCTAGTGACCCCAGAACATTTGCACAAGATATGAAACTTAAAATTATTAGTAGAGTTGCCCATGACGAATTTGTTTACGGATAATAAAAGGAACAAGCCTAGGCCACACTTTATAGTGCCTACCACTAAAGTTTTATGTAATTTGAACGCGCAGCACCATATACTGTATAATATATAGTGAGTCTATGGGGCAGCATTTATGTCAAGTTATCCAAGCCCAGTAGAAAATAGTAATCCATCTCAGCAGGAATAAAAGGTGTATGAAATCATATTACACACGTTATACAATCGTACGGGATCAAGATGTATTCTGTTTTCTGTTAGCCGGTAGACACGTAGGTATTCTTCATGCTTCTTTCTTACCGTGAGAAGCAGTGATGACATGCATTTTTGGCCTGTTTGAGGGACACACATGCGGCCAAAGGATCGGCGGAGTACACCAGCTCTCCTCTCCTGATTCTGGCTGTGGCTCGCAGCCCGTTGCCTTTTCCTGGGCTGACAAAGCGCTCTACTTTAGGAGCCATGCTCATTTTTCCCTCCATGCACCGTGCAAAGAACTGTTTACATCCGCCTCCGACGTCCCGACTGCGTCATGACGTCATACTGTCACTAATCACTAATGACGTAGCCACATCATGGATTATAGTTATGAGCCACATGGATCTATGGGTAGTCATGATCAAATTATACACAGTAAAATATAACATCACGCTTCATGATACATGAAAGAACAGTTGTTGAAGTTGACTGTCAAATGTTTTATTCAATACAAGAAAAGGCAGTTTACAGAAACAATCAAAGTTTCTCACCAGTAATAAAAGTATTAACATAATCATTCATTGATATCTTACACAAAAGACATTTTTGAAACATTCACTGAGAATGAAATTTGATTTACATTTTTATATACAACTGTTAATCCTTTTATCTACATTAAATCATTCATTTTTATATCAAACCATGAAAAAGGAGAGAGAAATAAATTGGAAAATTAAAATTAAACATCTGTATAATAAATAACAAAATTAAAAGATAACGCTTAGGAGTTAAAAAGGTCTGAACCAGCCAGACAAGGTGCAAATAAAACAATGGATCTGTTGTCCCTGCAAAATCCTCAGATCTGAAGAATGTTTCTTTATTAAAACTTACCACCTTTTAAAAGGTAATACTGAGAATGCATAGTATGAACTGTCTGTGATGGTGTGTGGGGCAGTGATTCTTCACCATAGGGTCAGAGCTCATTAAGAGCAAATAATATAAGAGTTAATGTGTGAGTGGGCCACAGGATAGTTTGGTGTTAAAAATAACAAACTAAAAACCAAATGAGAAATAAATACCTGCTGCAAGATGCATTATTGTATTGGACATTACAAATAAAAAATAAGACTGCTGTGAAAAACCTAGAGTTACAGAAGTACCAGTGTTGCTCAAACATTCTTTTAAAAGAGTACATTAAAATTTGGTTCCTACACATACGGTAAATGCTACACAAAGAATAAGCAATTTGTTGGGCAAATGTTCGATGTTTAGTTATTTTACTACATTTTTTAACTGGCTACACGCAAATGCCTTTAGATAAAAAGGTTTACAAAATATGTAAACATCCAAATAAATAGTAAAGACATTGTTACATGTGGAATTCATTCCAAGTAATAAACACAATGCTTTTTGAGCATTCAGCACCAGCTCCTTCCTATTTGTGCAGTTTGTGCAGACAGCATCTACATGCCCTTTTAACAATACGTTACTGTAATATTTACATTCAAACCATATTTTATAGGGTTTAAAGTCCAGGGTCAAGGTTTTTGACAGAGAGATTGGCAGATTTAGCTTTTTTCATCTGGACTTCAAAAACCCACTTTTTTCATTCTCAGGCTTAGCCAATGCAAAGGTTGGCCAGATCTTCATAAATGCAGAATGATTAGTTTGCATTTTATGCCACTTAAGCAGAAAGAAATATCCTAAGGTGAAGCTGAGTGGACATACCCAGTGTGCAGCAGGAATGCCCGACTATGAGGTTGGAGTAAACCAGTGTTGGATTTGAGATATTCCGCGTTGGATCTGACCAAAGTAGAAGTCTGCATTTCTGGAAAAGTCCTGACAGACTGAGGAGTGCGGGTCTCCTAGTGCACAGTAAAGAGCTGTACCTCCAATACTGATCACAACAGTGACCAGGCACAGAAGGAAGAGGAGGAGGCAAGAGTCTCCACCACCCATCTCTGTCAGGGGAAACATTGGCTTCATAATTTTTTTTAAAATGATTTCAAGTTTATGTAAAATAAGTGATACATACCGTTGTCAAAGCCATCATCGGGAACTTTGAAGCGAACTCGTCGTTTGGTTGGCAGTTTATTGCTCTGATGTTCTGCACCTGCAGATGCTGGACTGGACACTCTCTTCTTCAAAATAGACACTAAACCAGGAGCAGGAACCAGCTAAACAAAAAGATGCATTAAAATCTAAGTTGTTTTTTTTTACACCAAGAGGCAAAGTTCAAACTAAATGGGATAAGAGGTGTGTGTGCAGCATCCATATGGTACAATGGAACAAATATAGGTATTGCAACATTCTCTGTTGTCCAGTTGGTGTCTTAGCAAAGACAGTACTTTGCCTCAAGTGGAAAAATCTATAAAGTTAAGAGCTTGATAAAATGATTAATTGTTCCATGCATGGCCTTATATTAGTTGTTGTCAGTAACACATAAAACAATGCTGTGTATAATATGCTCACTTCTTCTACAGTGATCATTTTTGCCAGGTTGTCTAATGCAGCAGCTGCTCGGAGGAGATCCGCCTGTTCAACCTCGTAGTCCTCTTCCTCTTCTTCTTTTTCATCATCCAGGAAGGGCTCATTTAGGTCATCATCTTCAGAAACAGGCATCTCAGGGGGCAGACAGATTTTACCAATGTCCTGTTAAGAAAGGTTTGTAATACACAAGTTGCTACTGAACCAGAGTAAATAAAGGTTAAATATAATGTACATAATTTGAATACTTTCTGTCTGCAGATTACAGACAATAATTAGCAAGGAATTTGAAAGGAATTACAATTAGCAGCGTCAGAACTTTTTTGTTCTGTAGAGTTTGTAGCTGACAGATCAGTAAAAAAGTGACAGGAAATTGTGAGAAAGGGAGCATCTCAAATCCAGTTTGTTCAGTTTTATTTTGTAGAAAAACTAGCGGCTGCATAATAGTTAAGACATTTTATCACCTGTGCGTCTTCTGGGCTCAGCTGGGTTTCCTCCGGCTCACTTCTGGATTCCTGTAGTCGGATTTCCACTGCTGCCGCACTAACAACTGTTTCCACTGGAAGCCTCTCTGGACAAAAAGTAAAAGCTTTTCCATTCTGGCCTTCCTCCTCTCCTTCTTCCTCATCGTCCATCTCCAGAGCTTCTGTGGCCTCCTCTACATCCCGTGGCTCCTCTGTATCTGCCTCCTGCTCTTGGGCTGGACTCAGACCTCCTTCTTGCTGCTCTGCGGTTTTGGACTGGTCCATGTCATCAGTGCATGAGGGGGGACCCCCATCTTCTTGAGCTGACATGGTGCCTTCCGGCCCACCCTCTGGCTCATCTCCTTTACAGCCCTCCTCATTCAACTGAGCTTGGTGGAAAGTGTCTTTCCTTTCTGATTTACCGTCTTCCTGATCACACTCTGTGACCTCAAAAGACTCCAATTTACCCCCCAGATCAATAGAGGGTGACAGTAAAGAGCTCCCAGAGGAGTCCTCCGCTCTTTTCAATTGCTCCATTGTTCCCTTAGCTTGACAGTCTAAAAATGTAAGTCAATGAGAACAAACAAACAAAAGTTTTATATTTTGTATTCTGCTGTTATATTTGCAAATGCAAACATCTGTTTACCTGAGCTGCATGAAGGCACTATCAAATGATCCAGAGAAGCACACTAAAAATGAATTATACCTATTACTACACAAGAACTGTACAAAGTTCAAACAAAACCAAAGCACTGACACCAGATGCTGTCTTACAATAACATAACCAAGTTATTTTACTTCTAATATTCACACACAGCACAAGCAAGTGACTTACCACAGCATCACTCGACTTTGGCCTGTGAATAGACAAAAAATGTATGAGATAGTAGAGTACAGACAGACACGTAAAATGTGTTACACTTCCCTAGTCTCCCAGTCTAATATTAGACTGGACAAATTTCACTAGCTGCTACAAGGCTGCAGAATGAAACTCTAGTACTGTCCTGGGCTCAAATGTCTAAATTGGGTTGCTGCTGCAGCAGCAAAAGGCCATATGTGTGAACCATCATTCACTTAACCACACATCATGAAACGTATAGCACATTCAATTTACATAGATTATCCTGTGTGTGTTAGCAAAGGTGGAAAAGAGGTGATTAAATATCAAAAGAAATTTTAAATCAATGTGCTGGTTGTTTGGGAGTTTTCAATGAACCAAAAATTCCAACAACACAGCATGCATGACCTCCTGGTTTACAGCATAATGACTCGTGTAATAATGACTTTTACAGAACTTTCTCACCAACTGTGTGTTAGGCAGATCTGCCTGAGAGTGTCCAGATGTTGGGCTGCTGGGGCAGAGACTGCCGTGTTGCACCGAGTCTCTGGGGACAGAGAGAAAAGCACAGCAAAAGTAACATCATAAGACATACAACATAAGAATTACGTCCAATTATTCTTTAATTAAGTGATCAAGCAAAATCATATCTTATTATTATTACCCCACTGTTTCTGTAGTGCACTCAAATTATCCAGTAGTCTCTGGTGGTAGAGTCTCTCAAGTTGTACGCACCAGATTGCCCTTTGATCTGAACATCAAATGGTTAAGAAATACACGCTTATGTAATGTCTCATCTGCATTAGCTGCTTTGCTAATCTACAAGTCAAGAGAATAAATTATCTGAACTTGCCATGCTTGAGTTCTGTTCATGTCTGAACAATAATCCAAGAAAACCTTTCCGACCTAATACTTTATAAAAAATGAAAAAAGAATGTACGTATGGCAGAGCTAAGCTTGCTTTTCTACTTTAAGGCTTTCTCTTATTCCTCTGATCTCTTCTAAAACTTTCTTTACTTTTAATTTTTTCCATTTAGCAGCATCCTGAAACAAACTTAGAAATTTGCAATTTGTAAATAAATAAATTAATGATAAAAAATAAATAAATAAATAATAAAAACTGATACATTTTAAATGTGTATCATGTTTTCTTTATGTAAATGTTACTGTGGTGAAAGTGAAAAAACAATATAGCTAGTTAGAAGATTTGATTATTTTCTAAGAATACTGTGTGTGCCGACTATAGTAATCACATTTAAATATATAAACCCATTAACACTGAAGCCTCAAGGATACAGTCTTCATGAGAGACAAAGGCCTCAGCAATCTGGACAAAAAAATACCAGTACACACATACATGAAAAGAAAAAATAACATAAAATTATATCATATCAGGTAATACACTGGCACTCATGTCAATCAGAAGAAAGAGTGTGAAAAATGACAGAGGGACAATGCAACTTCTCTTTAACAAGTTTTTTTTTTCAAGTTGCTCTGCTGATCTCAGAACAGAGATGTGTTTGTGTGTGAGAAAGGGACCGAACAGAAAAGCAAGGAATGAGAGGGAGGGCACAATGTCTCTCGCATTTCTAATGAAGTATTGGGCAGTGGAGTCTTGGGCTTCCTTCCATTTCTAATGCAATTAAATAAAACATTAATGTGTTCACTTGTTAAAGGTTAGTCATCATCATCCCTCACCAGCAATCATGCATACAGCTATTTGCCTGAAAGGCAGTGACGCTCAGGTGTGCCGTGCCGAGCTGCTGTTTTAAATCAAAGTGACTGAAATATTCACACCCCAAAAACATGCAAGTTGAGTCAAGCAAACTGGAAAAATTTACAGATGGACTGGGGAATATATATATATATATATATATATATATATATATATATATATATATATATATATATATATATATATATATATATATATATATTTTTTTTTTTTTTTTTTTTTTTTTTTTTTATCTAATCATGGCATGCACATATGCAAAGCACACCCAGAAGTGCCTTTAGGTGTAAAGTCCATATGATTTCTGGGTGTGCACAGGGCACAAAATTAAGTTATCATGAAAAATAAAACACAACTTGTCCTCTTGAAATTGACAGTTACCTGATGCAGGTAAAGAGGGAGATGTGTATCGTCACCCCTTTTTGACAGCTGATCAAGAAATCCAACGAGTTGTGATGGTTCTTGATTCATGTTGATCTCTTTATTGCAACTTGGCTTGGAAGTTTCCATTTCAGCAAAGGAAAGAGTTTCCCAATCTCCAGAACCACTATAGTGACTATCCTCAATTGAAACACATTGCAGTATTTGATTTGGACTGGGCCCAATTTTAGGATTCAAATTACGGTCCAAGATATTTTCAGTATATTTTTCTGAACTACCAGGTTTTGTTACAGATAAATCTGAATTGCTATAACCCAAATCTAATTCACTGCTCTGGTTTTCTTTGTCTGGGCCTTCTATGAGAGAGAGGGAGGGGGCAGGTTCTGTACTGGTTCCAGGACTGAGGGCATAGGGTGTCTCCAGTAGACTTCCTAAAAGGACAAAGTAACACACACAACTTTTAAGAGCTGATATTAGAGTGAATACAAGAGTAGAATGTATGGGCCTTTCCAACACAAGCACATGACCATGGACATGCATCCCTTAATTTGCCTTATACTTGAAAACATGTGACCACTGACTTGAAACACTATTAATAAAAGTACTTAGATCTTTTGGGTTTCTATGCAATGAATTACTTTTTTAAATAATAAAATACTACTGCACAAACTGTACATAGCTGGGATGTGTGACTAAGATTATTTGAGCAAATTACATACTTGGTTTCTGTAACCAGAGCTGCACATTAAACCAAAGATTTATTTCAAAGCTAGTAACAGTTGCCATTTACTCTCAATAGCAACTTTGACACTTGGATTTAATCCACACAATAAATATGTTTCAATATGACATCATGGAACGCATCAAAAAGATACTGCACTGGCTTGTGAGATGAGTAATTGACCATTATCGTCCTGTCAGTAACCTACTTTGTTTGCTTTATTGCTTTAAAAATAGTGGTTAAGTCATAAGGGCCCATACCTGTTTCTGAATAAGAAGAATCAGTCATGGGAGTTTCTGGGGATTGGCAGCGAATTAAACTCAAATCCTCTGAGATGTCCTCTTCTTCCTTCATCACCTCATCCTGGTCTTCCTCCAGCTGTCCCACCCAGATGTCCTTGTCAAGTTTGTTTTGCTCATAGTCTTTGCAGTTAAAAGGGGCTTTTTGCATTGAATCTTGTTGCCCACCATTTTCATTATCCGATGCAAGTCTACTCTGTGTTTGTGCAAGCTTATTTAGGTTTACTGGAAGATTGTCACAGAGATCAACCGCTTGTGACATTATACTGTCCTCCATCCCAAACTGACCTTCAGGATAAAAGTATGATAACATGCATGCCAAGAAGCATAACTAAATAAAGTTTACATTTTGTTCTCTCACTCTACTTACCACCATAATCCATTAGTCCTAACTTGCGCAAAGACCTAGCCTCCTTTTTGGTCTGCAAAGAAATAATGCAATGAAAATAAGAGTGAATAGAATAATAATAAAAGAAATCAAGAATAGAATAGAAACATCAGATAACATAAGACTCAAAACTAATGACAGCAAATAACTGAAACAAGGGAAGCACAAAACTAGTTTGGCACCATTCCTAAGCCAAGCCCTGGGGCCTAAACCATTAGAACAGCTCAGCACCATATATGAAAATAATTCAAATATTTAAGTATTATTACGTTCACAGTGCAAACTTAACCTTCAAGAATAAAAAGATGTGATAATCAGACAAGGAATCTCAAAGGAACAAGGAACTCCAAATGCTAACTGTTTTTTGTAGCCAGGTATAAGCCCCTAGGTTGATTTCTGAAATAGTAACACGTATGATTAACATCAGTATCTAATCATCTGGTGCATTTTGATGTTATACTTTATTAACCCATAACCATCCTTTCACCATCCTAGAACCAGTGTTAGAGTACCCTTGTGTTGTCAGCACTGCAGCACACTGACTGAAATTATTAATAAAAACTAATACATCAAAAAATCATTCAGAAATCATTCTTGGGCAGAAACTAGAAGCAGTGGTGAAGCTCTTAAAAATAAGCCAAGTTGCCACTGATGCTTGTAAGAAATTGACACTTATGTTGAGCAAGTAAGACTCAGATTTAAAAACGAGGTCATCAACAATATACATTTGTTAACACTTCCCCGCTGTCCACACACACAAACACGCAAACCTACAAATAACTGGTTTGGTAAAGGTCACGATTTGTCATGAAGGTAATGTATTGCTAACGTTAGCTAGCCACATCTGGCGAAGACCTCGTATGACAACAAAAAATACTTCAAATTTATTTACACAAAGAGAATTATCATTTAGAAAATCGGACGTGTTTTAAAGCGATTATGACTTACAGGTCATCGTTGTCTTTGCTGGCATCACTTTGAGCATCAGAAATGGATGTTATGATCTGTGCTCTGCTGAGGTGAAAATAGTCCTTAAAAAAAAAAAAAAAGAGCAACAGTGACGGCGCATGCGCGGTATTCTGGTTAATCTACGTGTGCTGGTGCCCTCTGTAGCTTTTGCTAGGGAAGTACAATGTATGATATGCATACTATTTTATCTTGTCAGACAGAATGCTTTGCCATTGATTTATTTTACAGAATTTGTAAAATAAATCAGTCAATGCAAATTCAAAATATTTTTTATTAAAAAAAAAGAGTACATTACAAGAAGTTCATTCATATAAATTATTCCCATTTACAAGAGATTATGATGAGTTTAAAACATTGATAATCTTGCATATTTAATTATTGTTTGAGAAACACATCTGTACATACTTATGACTGAAAATTTTATTTAACAGTGTCACTATTATGCTAGATTAGACTACACATTATAGAGGTACAGTAACAAGTATTTCTATTAAATGATGAAACTACATGTTCTTTTGGCAATATATTACTCTTCCCCTTTTGTTTTGTCAATTATCATCATTACAATGTTGGTATAATATAAATAAATTACTATTGTCAGGCCCATCCCATTCTTTGTGTGTTCTCCAGATGTTCTTCATAGAGCCAACTCTGTGCGAACTCCTGGCTTTTGTCTATCAACTGGAACAGTCGAAGATACTCCTCTGGATATACATGACCAGTCAGAATATCCTCAGGTAAACCCAACTCTGACAAGAATTTACTTCCACTGTCTGGAGACCAGAGACTGGAAACAACAAAAAAATTTATATGAAACAGAAAATGAGAATGAATGAAACATTGGGATCTGAACATGAACATGCTTACTTGAGCCTGTCAATAAGTTTGACCTTTCTTTTTGCCAGACACTGTTTGACCATCACGAGTAGAGTGGCAGCATTAGAGGGAGTCAGACCTGAGGAGAACAAATCTGCCCGAGGACGCAATTGCACAAGACAGAGATGTTCATTAGGAAGCTAGGAGAAAAACACATGAATACATTTATATTCATATTACTATATATTTTTGATGAAATTTAAGAGTAATTTCTTCTTTTACTTTGCCTCGGGAGGCTGGAGCACTTTGTCTTGAAGACACCACAAATGATTCCCATGGCTCCTGTAAGTACAAGACACATTATTTTTTATATCCTTTAACACACGAGTTAATTTATTTGTAGTTATTTTGAAAGTCATGTACTTTATGCAGTAGTTGAATATCACACGCCATCTGCCACAGGACACCGAAAGCTCTGTAGTTCATCATGTTACCTGGGCATGCTGTTAGTTTCTAAAATAGTGATATAAACAACAGTATATACAATGTTTGGACTTCTTTATATATATTTTTAAAATTATAATATTTTACCTGGTATTCCTTCTCGCTTATGAAGAGGTTGAGCTCAATCCTTCCATATCTGTAAACTGACAGTCGTTCAAACAAAGCGTAAACCATCTTCAACAACATACTACGTTCATTTCGCTGGGGAAGGATGCCAACCACCTTTACTGGGACATCTGGAAGACATTTAAGATCAATTTGAATGTAATTTACATGTACAATAACAAACTTCTATTATATAATGAATTACCATGAGTCCAATTGGCCTCTGATATTCCAAGATCAGTGAAAAGTTTGTCAGTTGTCATAACAGGAGGTTTAAGGTGTCCACTGCCAAAGGGGTCAAGTTTAAAATAGTCACAATGAACCACTTCCAGCTGACCATCAAGACGACCTTCTAAATCCTACAACATTAATAAGCAATGTTATTATTTAAATTTCAATACTGTGTTAAGGGAAAAATAAATTAATGTTTTAGATTACAAAATACCGCATCAGTTACCTGTAAATCGTATAAAAAGGACTTGTCTCCTTCAAGAGCAACCACTCTTTGGGCTCCAGCCTTTAGCAGTGTTCTTGTGAGCACACCAGGCCCTGTCATGCAAAAACAAACAGCAAATTATTTTTGCTGTCTTCATATCATTAACATATTTTTGTGTCATGATGATAACACACACCTGGGTTACATTCAAACACAACCATTTTAGAATCTTCTATGTCAGGCCCAAGGTGTTTCGTCACAAGTGTGGCAAGTTCAGGGTTGACAATGAAATATCTATTTTTTTTGCACGTCCGGGCCTTGTCTCGGAAATCATATTGGCATAAGGGACGGGACTAGGCAGAGAAGAAATTACAATTAATAATGAATTTCTTATACTGTATTATTTTCATATTATTTTTTCATTTGTAAATGACTGATAATGGTTTCTTTTGTCTCACTTGTACAGCTGCTGCAGACAGATTTCTTTGCGTTAGTGCTGAGGATGGAGACAACCTCTCAGTGCGAGGCTGTTGTGAAGTTTGACCTTTGGATGACTGAGAGGACAGTCTGTCCAAACTGTAGGCTCTTCTTTGAACTGCTGTAAGAAACAGACCACTGTGGCCACAAGGTCTAACATGGCCCAATACTTGTCTGTGCAAAGGTGATTTATTTCTGATGGTGTGGCAACAAGCAGATCTCATTAATAATTCCACTACTCTGCAAATCGAAGTAGACATGGTGACGTCCAGTGGCCAAAAGATGAAGAGGAAGCGTCTTAAGAAGTCTGAGAATGGGAATCAAAACGGTTATGATCAATTAACAAGTATTGCAATTGCATAAAACTGCATAGTGTGCAAAAATGTTTAAGTACAAATAAAGAATAAGATTATACGAATAATAATAATATGAACTGTTAAAGAGTAGACCATAGATTGCACATTGATCTGTATTATGTTTTTGAACTATACACGTCTATGCGCGAACATGGTCTGCAGTAATACCGTCTTACGGAGACGTAATTATACAACAATTAAATAAAATTATATATTTAATGTTACTATATACCAAAACACTACTTAAAAGTAAAGTAGTAGCAAAGTTAGCCAATGCTTGTCCAGAGGTAGTTAGCAAGATTAGCTAATGTACGCCATGTTCTTAGAGGATCAAGTTTATAAGGACATACAAGACCTACCGGAGTAGCATATATCTTATAAATTCACAGCTAGCGAGAGCAATCCATTAAAACCGAACTGTCGTTGACTGATCTGCATTAAAAACCATTGACATTGAAGAACAAGCATGTTGACCCTTCGTAACTTGTTTTCATAAACCACTCGTGGTACAATGGGCGCACGTAATTGTCGTCATTAGTAAAAGACGTTCGTGAGAGCCAATCAGCGAGTCCTTAGCGGTTAGGCCCTGGCCAATCAAAACTCGAGAAAGTGCAACACTCAAAAACACAAAGAACGGAATTTTATGTTAATAATGTATCAGTGTGACAACGTACAGTAAAACAGTCTCTCATAGTAGATATGCATTTATATTTTGCTTGGCAGTCCCTTCAGTATGGCCCCTATTTGTAATATAGGATCACTTTAGCATCATGTAGCACGACAGGCTACGGAAGCGCTCTAGATAAGAGAAGGCTGCAGCAGCGAGCACCCTGCTGTAACAGTCGTCAGTCTGACAAGTGCGCTGACCTCTCTCCTCTAGACTACTGTCACCATGCCATCGGTAGAAATATCCCCAAACCGACCCTACCACTTGGTCATTTTCGGTGCCTCCGGATTTACTGGGCAGTTTGTGGTGGAAGAAGTGGCTCGCACTGCTTCTGAAGGTCCGAATGGGAGTCTGAAGTGGGCCGTGGCTGGAAGAAGCAAGCAAAAACTGGAGAAAATAGTAGAGCAAGCTGCTGGAGTGTTGAGTATGTGGATTTTAAACCAATTTTCCTTTTTTAATACAGTGGCATTACTGGCAATTCATTTTTATTTAAAAGGGTGTGAATCTTTTAAAAACCTGATTATTAAGGCGTTTGGGATTTATCTGGACAAAGTGGTTGATTAGTTTTTGTTGCGAGCTAATTCCAAAGTACAAAAAGATAACCTGTATGAAGTATTAACACTAATCTGATGCACACAACTGAGTAGCATATTTATAAAATCTTGCTCTAATGCTGATTTCCAGAATTAGATTTTCAGCTCTTTGTCTCTCTTATATGAAGTGGACAGTTAATGGGACAATGGCATATAGTCCCATTGCGTGCAATATATCCCACTGACTGAATAATGGTGTCTGTTGATGCCGATAACTCAATTCTGTGCACAGGTAAGCCTGAGCTCAGAACAGAGGTGGACATCATTGTTGCTGATGTTGGAGAGCCAGACTCCTTGGCAGCCATGTGCAAACAGGCTGTGATTGTTCTGAACTGTGTTGGACCAGTAAGTACTTTGATTAAATAACTCTACACAGCACCTTTTATAATTTCCCTCCATATAACTTGTGATCTATTTGCATAGTTTCTCAAAAAGAGACAAATTTGTTCAATCGTTCTTTTCTATTATCAGCAGCTCCTTATGCAACACAACTGTCACTGACACAATGGATGTTACAGACTTGCAGCTTACAATACACTGCATTGTGCATTTATTCAGAATCTTTTTGCAGCTATTTCATGACAAAAAGACTTCTTAATTTTCACACTTGATATCTTGGTAATATAATCAGTACTGTGTATCGAGGTCTTACTTATGTTAATTCATGCAAATAATCTTGATTGTGTTTTAGAGTTATTAGTCACTTGTATTGTTACTGTAGTTAATCTTTTTTGTTATTGTCGTTCATAGTATAGATTTTATGGTGAGCCAGTGGTTAAGGCTTGCGTGGAGAATGGAGCACACCATATTGATTTATGTGGAGAGCCTCAGGTACGCCATGCAGCTATTATGCATTTCTAATTTGCCGAAACTTAACTTTAAGATATCCCACTGCCAAATATCAAAGGACCTTAAACCACAAAAAGAACATTTTCACCAATGTTTGCACATTCTGAATTGTTTTTGTTTGGCTACAGTTTTTGGAGACAATGCAGCTCAATTATGACAGTCCGGCAGCAGAAAAAGATGTTTACATAATAGGAAGCTGCGGATTTGATTCCATACCAGCAGACATGGGAGTCCTCTTCACCAGGGATCAGTTTAAAGGTATTACTGTAGTACTTTTTTAATAAGCAATATGTTTTAACAGTTCTATTCAAAGCCATTTTCTTTCCACAGGGACATTGACAGCAGTTGAAAGCTTTCTCACTGTCAATTTAGGACCTGAAGTAAGCTAATTCGAGTCTCTTTTTTTGTACACACATATAAATACATATGTTTTTTTCCCCCCCTTTTTAATTGTGTTTATTTTTAGGGTGGTTGTATCCATGATGGCACATGGCAGTCAGCTGTATATGGATTTGCAGATGGTAAAAAACTTCAAAGCCTGCGGAAGAAATTTAATCACAAAGCCCTTCCTGTTGTTGGTTCAAGACTCAAACGCAGGTTAATATTCCATTTAGCCATTTTGACCATAAACTTGAGTACATAACATAAATAGCTAAACAGTGCGTTTTATTGTCTGGTTCATTGTACATTTTAGAGGCGCATTGTTCTACAGTAATGAGATTCAGCAATACACTGTACCATTTATGGGCTCTGACCCTTCGGTTGTAAAGAGAACACAGCGCTTCCTTGTGGAACACGACGAAGTCACACCAGTAAGTCTACTTTTTGTACTTTGTTATATTTCACAATGTTCTTTTTAAACAGGATATTTCTTCCCTAGGTCCAGTACGGCGCATATGCAGGTGTTGGGGGTTTGAGTAATGTTATCAAACTGATGTTTGCTGGCATCATGTTCTGGTTTATGGTAAAGTTCAGTTTTGGGCGCAACCTCCTCATCAAGGTAAAATATGCATATTTAGGTTTGATTTTATTATTAGCATTTTCTTATATTACAAGGGTTTTTTTTTTTTTTTGTATTTTCACTGTAGTATCCAGAAATCTTTACTTGTGGGCTCTTCTCTAAGGCGGGACCAACTAGAAAGCAGGTATTTACAGCTCAGAATGAAATGTAAAAATTTATATAGCTTCTCAATTTCTGTATATGCTTTTTAGCTGGAGGGGTCATCCTTCCAGTTAGCTTTCTATGGAGAGGGTTACACAGATGGACAGGACCCTTCTCGCGGAAAACCAGATGGCAAGATCCGTGCTGTTGTTCAAGGACCTGGTATGTCCCTGTTTGAAATGTATATTTACTCAAGTAGTTGTGGTTCAATTTAATTTAACTACATTATCAACTAAAACATGCACACATACTTAAATGGATCTTCAATTTTTAGAATGTGGATATGTGGCAACGCCCATTGCCATGGTTCAGGCTGCTCTGACCATTCTCAATGAATCTCCCGCATTGCCTAAGAAGTAAGTTGTCATCAGTCATTCAATAATTCTTGTGACATTAAAAACTCCTCAGTTTAGTCGCAGTCTCCTTTGTTATTGTATTAACCTACTTTGCAAATAATTTCATACCTTTTATTTTCAGGGGAGGAGTGTATACACCAGGAGCCGCCTTTGCAAAAACCACACTGATCAACCGGCTTAACAAGCATGGCATTCAGTTTTCTGTTCTTTAAATTGGCTCCCATTTACCCAATCAACTTTGAGCACTAAGTATGAATGCATAAAGCCAGTTAGCATAGCTTCAGTTTGTATAGATCTTTGTAAAATTAAACTTGTCAGACCTTACAGTAATAACCCTAGTTGTTGGTTGTATTAGTTGCTTTACATTCTCTTTCAGTGAAAGAGTCATGTGTATGCATGGCTTGGGCCACCGTTAAAGAAATTTAACGTTTAAGCAATTTTGTCCAAATACCAAACATTGTTTGCCTGAACACTGTGGAAGTTCTTCTGCAACTGTTGCAATAATATTCAGTGTCATTTCCCGTTTGTATGGATTAAAATTACATCAATGAAGCTCTAATACATGAATTGTGTTTTCACTTTTAAAGACAATCTGACTGCTCAGTGACAGTCCTACCCATTTCAGGAATCATTAAAAATATATTTATTAACATTAACACAAAAATAATCAAATACAGTTATGCATGTTAAAATAGTAGTATACAAAATAACGGATCTTTTACACAGTACACAAACAATTGGATAAAATATTCAATAATCAATGGGCCAATATTGCTGTTCGTGATTATGTACCGGTTGTTTTGAGTCAACATTCAAACTGCATCCTGATTAATCAGCTGATGAGTATAGATGGCATCCTCATAGTGATATTTCTCTGCTATTGTCATTATAGAGTCATAGCATCTAACACGACTTAAAATCTTCAGAATTTCAGTCACAGCAGATCTAAAAAACAAAACAGAAAAAAGGACATAATGAACAGAACATAAGTATTATCAAACATTTAACTTTTTCATATGCTAAGATTTACTTTGTACTCGGTTCCTTTGGAGATTGTTGTTTACATACGGAATGAACCGTCTGAACCAAATAGTTTCTGAAAGACTGAAGCTGAGGTAAACAAGTACTTTCTCCTGTGCACCAAGAGGATGGCAAACTTTCTGCAATCTGTAAAACAGTACAATGTACAACAAACGATGTAGCTCCAAAGAATGCATGTATTCACACCCTAAAACAAATACAAATGCTGAAAGATTTAAAATACCTTTTTGCACGCTTTAAGTCTGGTTCCTGTAGAGTTGACTAAAGCGATGATAATGTACCGACTGAGAAGTTTATCCAACATCAGTTCCTTCAATACAAATTCGGGAAGCAACAAATCCCACTTTCCCATGATGCAAAGAAGCTAAAATCATCAAAAGGAAATTAAATATGTAAATAATCCTAACTAGAAATTTAAGGTAAAAGGTGTAGATGTAGTATTTGCCGTTTTACTTTTATAGCTGTCCAGAATTGCTGCTCCCTGAAATGACACTGTGGAGAAGACAAATCCTCCAAGAACCTGTATTTAAGTGGAAACATTGAGAAATTAATTACTGTACACTAGATTAGGTTTATTCATCAGTAACAGTATCAGTATCAGTAACCTTTTGGGATAGATTGGAATAAAGATGTCTTCATCAACACAGGCTCTCAAACGACTGGCCACAGCATCTAGGAATGCCTACATAAAAATTAAAACATATTAAAACTATATTGATTTAAGATTTCAGTAAGCTAATCATAATTAGTTCATATATGTACCTTAACTGGTTTACTTCGCTCTCCTTGAAAGATGGAATAGTCTTCCTTCAGTCTATGACACAAATCAGCCAGACAACCAGTTTGATGCAGCGACATAGGATCCCAAATCATCTCAACATAAGCTAAAAATAGATTTGAACATTTAGTTAATTGGTTTATACCTTTACACAGATGTGCAGCATGGAGAGAAAGGTTCAATACCTGTTAGTTTTGGAAATAATGTTTTCTCTATAACACTTGTCACAGTCTGTCGGTCTGTGTGCTCCAGCTCTTCATGACCGTGTCCATGACAGAAAGTCTCCAAGGCAGTGAACCACGGCATGTTTTCAAAGCTCTCACTCGTATCCTAAGAAACACAAAGAGAACGACCTGTCAGATGCCACTCTATTTATTTATAAAAACTTAGAGTAGATCGTTAATTTGCAGAAAATACCTTTAAAGGATTCCAGGACAGGAGCTGATGCCTTATAATGGAGTGCAGTAACTTAGGTAGGCACAGAGAGATATAAGCGTTATGGTACGAGTCTGAGTAACATCGTCTCCATTCCTCAAACCGGGACAGAATCTTTTTCACTTCATAGAAATCATCTTTTACATCAGAAAAAACAGCCTTGGACCGCAACAGAATATCCTCTGGAGCAGATTTGAGAATATAATTTATAGATAATTACCTTCTCTTTAACAGCATTGTTTAAATTAACACACAAAACACCAGTTTATATTTTACCCATTTGTTTATGACACTCCTCCTCTTCTTCAGGGAAAGGCATTGTGTCTTCAGGTACATCAAAATCTTCCTCAATCTTTACAGTAAGAGCTGTGTCACTAAAAGCAGTAAAATAATTATTATATATCTTCTTTTTCTTTCAAAAAATTTTTAAGAAATTAAAGTAATAAAGAAATATAAATCGACAGTTTGCTCTTACCCAAGAATTGCTTTTCCATTAGCAGTTTGTTCATTGGTTTTATCTAAAAATATAACATTGAAAGCATTGGTATTTTTATGTGAAACACATTTCAAATAGACAGATGGTATGTAGACAGGACTGAAATAATGTACTTTCACACTTTAAAAAAACATAGTAATTTACAGCTCAGTTGTAGTAGATGTTCTGCTTGGTCTTTGACGTTCTGTCGTCTCCGAGATGACAATGAGTTCAGTTGGTCGGACAGCAACGTGTGCAGCTCCAACTCCAATGAGTTGATCTCAACGATCTGGAAAAAGCAGGTGTTGTGTTAGTGTCTGTTAATGGGTTAGTATATAAACAAAACTATGCTTAATTACTTTTTCACGCAGGCATTCCACAAGATTATGGGTATACAGAGTCATGTCTCTATAAAACTTTAGCTCAAGCTCCAATGAACTCTCTTCTAGATTTTCAGCAGAGCACCTTGCATTTTCAATATCTCCTTCCATTCGCCGAAACTCAGCCTCACGAGCCCTGTGCACTTCTTTCAAAGACTCGACTCTACAAATATTAAATAAAATGTTATCAATGCAAAACGAAGATTGGGTAAAATTTGGTATATATGTTGGGAAAAAATGGTACAAAAATATATACTGACTTCACTGTGATTCTCTTCTTAATCACTGCGATTGAGACATCAGGAAGAGCAGGGATTTTATTCTTCTGCCTTTGCCGTTCCGGTCTGCTGCTGCTGTAGCTACTTGATTCACTCTCAGATGGGCTCTAATGGAACATTACATAGCGGTGTAAATAAATAAAATAATAATATTAATAGATGACAAGATGACAATTATTTACTTGTTCTCCTGGTCGTCTTTTTAAACCTTTTCCAATTTGCATTTCCTCCCATAGCTCCTGCTCCTCGTCAGTCCTGGATAAACTGTCATCACTATCTCCTACAAATAAAAGTTTGTATTATTGGTCTAAAATGGCAAGCAAACACAAAATGCACTGTGATTTTGTGGAGATCTGTACCCATTTGTTCTGCTATTCTGTCTCTGATGCTTTTAGGCTGAGGCGCAAACTCAATTCTTCTCTCATGATCGTCAAGCTCATCACTGTCATTTTCTACTTGTTCATCTTCGTCCTTGGTGCTAAACTGCTCAGGGGTGCTAGCAGCTGAACTATGACCATCTTTGTCCAGGGGAATATATTCTTTTTTAACCAAATTGGCTCGTCGCAGATTCTTCGCTGCTTCAATTTCTTTGGCAGTAGGAATAATTACTGGAAAATAAAACCGATCACAAAAACTTAAAAGTGCATTCATTTAAAAAAAACTGACGACTTTTTTTAGTAAATACCTTGTTTAGGGCCAGATCTGTGGCTGGATCCAGAACTAGATTGTGGAGAACATGAACCAGGTTTCATGTGAACATCACTTTTATCATCTGTATTGCTGCCACTGTCCGACACTGTGTTCCCATTATTATCATCACTGTCATGGTTTGAAGAAGAGTCATCGCCAGAATCTTCCTTCTGTAAAACGGGTGTGCTGGTTGCTGCTGAATATCATTATTGTGTTAAGAAATCACACTCAGTTAAATAGACTTTTGAATATATAAGTGACTAACTGAAGATAATAATAATAAAACTATTATGGTGGACATACTGAGAGACTTAGAAGGTTTTGGTGTCTTTTGTGTCTTGGCTGTCGTCTCCTTCTTCCTGCGTTGAAACAGCACTGCTCTGTCTTTTGATTTATTCAACTTAAAATCCACATCTCCACCTGGACATCAAAGTTATAAATTAGATTAAAGGTGCACTGTGTTACCATGTATGTAAGTAACAGTTGTGGGGACGAGTCCGCCATCTGCTTGTATTCATGGAGATGTTATTGCTTTGTTCAACAGTAAAAAAACAACAACAAAAAAACACTTTAAATTAAAGTTCAAGCAGACTCTCAGGGCACATGTACATAGGGCACATGTACTTAATTACTTACAACAGAATATGTAATACTTTGCAGAGTACCATTATTATTAGAAACCGTTACCTTCCTCAGAAAAACTGAGAACTGTGTTTGTTTTGTTTTTGCCTGCATCGTTCTGTGTTTTTGTTGTGAGCTCCTTTCCGTCTCCCTCCTCTTCCTCATCATCATCACTACTGTCCGATTTTGAAGGGGGCGCTTCCCGTTTGGAGCTGCAGGAGATGCCGCGGTTTTGTGGTAGTTTCTGTGGCCTATTTACCACAACAGAACTTTTCTCATTATCATTTTCATCTCCAACGGCCATGTCTTGTTCCTCTTCATCACTGGAACCCCCTTTTCTCTGCCGAAAGTTTCGCCGAGGCTTTTTGTTGAACATAACGTTTCCACTACAAGTGACAAGCGCTGGATAAAAATAAAGTACTTTACGGCACAACAAAAAGTGATTGTAAATGTCGCTGAGGATGGCGTAAAATGACCGCTATGCATTTTGGACAATGTAGTTGTTGGCCGATTCATGCTTAGAAAATAAGCAAGAAAAGAGCCGCTTGTTTGTTTGTAAGTGTGGTGAATCAAGACAAAAATATTAAATACAAAATAACACGCCATACTAAATGTGTGAATTTATATTTTAAAAAATCGTTCTATTGAAAAAAATTAAATAAAAAATAAAAAAGTAAGTAAATCAATTAAAAAGTAGCGGATCCCACAGAAGTTAAATTTTTCGCCAATAATTGCCAGTCTTCATTGGTCCTGTGCTCGTTTCATTCCTCCCTAGTCTAGTCCCTTCTGTCTCTCCTCCCTCTGGAGCGGAGTTAACAGCGCCCACAGGCAGCACAGCTCTGTTCACACTCTCGTCAGCCATGTTGTTGATGTGACACACAGAACTGTCAGCAACAGGTCCACACTGTTGAAAAAGCGGCTGTACTTGTACATTTTCCGATATTTACTTCTTCTGGGATAATAAACCTCTTCAGTGTGTCAGAGAAGCCGCCCAGGAGCCGTGAATGAGAACCACAACCCCTTCGAAAAGTCGGAAGTGGGTGATTTTTGGCCGCGCTGCTGAAAGAGGTACGCAGACGAAACTGCTTGTCTAAATATGAGTTTAACTTTGATAATGCCCTAATATTGTAAAAAAAACATCACGTTAGGTCCGTGTTGGTATTATCAGACAAGTTTTAGGCTACTTTTCTGCACATTTGCTGTTGATTTAAACGTCCAAATTGAGAGCCTCTGTCTCTTCCATTGATCTTTTAATAATGCTGTGAAAGGCATTAGCAAGTTAAGATAAAGCTTAGGTAAAACATGTCAAATATAGTCAGAATTTATATAAAAGTTAATTATAAGCAGGCCCACAGGAAAGTCTGCTAATTTTTCTCGGTACAAACGAGTTGAGCAGGTTGCATGCTGGTGACAAGTGATCAGGGAATGTTACCCTTACTCTATCATTTAATCTTCAGTATACATACAAGAGTTAAAAAAAAATATTATATTCTTCTAAATTATAATGGTGTATTTTTAATTTAAGGTAATTATTTTATCTAACAGTATGTAATTAATCACTGATAAACTAGATACCTGAACTTCTACCTGTATGCCTTACATTTTTAAGTTAAGTTAAGTCTTGATGGTGCTACATAGACAGTTGTATGTTTTGTATCTAAAATTGCATAATATCTTAATTACAACAACCATTTATGCAGGGTACTTTGACAGTCCATTCAAAATGCAGTGATGACTGGAATGTAACATTTTAGTAATAGTTATTTTAATGCTTTTCTATGACATATTTGCTTTATCCAGAGTATGAATTAATTAAGGTGGTTAAAGGAACACTGAAACAAAGAGAGGCATGCCTTGAATCTTAAGAAAACAGAATGCCATGAAGAGCAAATACTATTAAGATCTAATATTTGTCACTCTGAGATTTGCTGCTTTGATTTGCTCTTTGCTTGAGGCCTTGACTGCACTGACTGACACTGTGGGAGCTGGACTGATATCACACAAGTGAGGTCAGTATGAGGCAAGAGAATGAAAGTCCTAACCCTAGTCTCTCTATGGACAGATCTGGGTGGCTGCTGATTTAGAAAACCTTCTACTGAAAAAAATAATTTCCCACATGACTGTAAGTCGTCCAAACTTAAAATTTCTACTTAAAATCTAAATGTACTTGTGATACAAGAAACTTTGTATAACTAAGGCTTATTCTCTATCCAAGGATGAGCGGAAGTTCTGTTATTGTGAGGTCATTGGTATTTATTTAAGGCTATTTAGTCACACTGCAATAGTCACAGTGTCTTCAAAAACAGCTTGTTATGTATTTTAGCCTATATGTATGTATTGAAAGTGCAGGATTACATAAATGATTGCACAGGTACATTTGTTGTTGAATTAAGGCAGAAACTGGAGAAGGGGCGGATGGAGTGTGGAGTGTCCAACTAGGGCTTGAGCTTGGAGTCTTGTCCTCCATTGGAACATCTCAGTCCTTATAATCTTTCACAGGAATCTACAAGCCTGTATTTTTCTAAACATGTGGGATCCTTTGCCTCTGTTAGCTGCCTAGTCTAGATCCAGAGGATCAAAAGCTCAAACCAGAATTCCTAATCATTTCCTATCACATGACCTGGGACCAGGAAATGCATATTTCAGCAAGTTACTAAGCAGGAAGCCAAAATATTTTCCTCTCTTTCCTTCCCGGAGTTTATGTGTCAGTCTGACCATAGAAAAAAGATTTTAAAATCTAATAATAAAAGCTGACTTGACAGATTTAACTGGTACATTTCTGCTTATTTAATTTAACTGATCAACGCTGCAACCATCAAAGTAAGCTATTATGATGTTGCAATTATGAATCATCAAGTGAGATTTAAAATAGTTATGTAACAACATATTTGACTGGTGACATGAACCAGTTTCTAAATGTGTTCATTTCAGCAGCATTTATTTTATTAATACATTTGTGTGAAAATAAACTAAGAACTATAAATAATTAATTTGTAAGATACCGTCAACAGTGATCAGAGGCCAACGGTGAAAACAAATGTGTCATCGTGGTGATGTATCAGCCGTGAAGTCTGTATTAAATGGTCTGCTCTCCTCTTCAGTAGCTCTGTGAATAGTGCTGGAACTTGTCCCAGAGCATTTAAGGCTTTGGTATGCCGCCAGCGCTCCCCTGACTGAAGCACACAGGAGAAGCCCTGTTTGAGTGCTGACTGACCAGAATCTCTTTCTCTGCTTTGCTCTGTCACAGCACTGTCCCATCTTTGCTGCAGCTTTCATTGACCATGGTGTTTCTGTGTTTTGCAGATGGCTTTGATTAGAAGCTGAAGACTACATCCCTCACACCATCTCCACCACCTGCAAAAATGAATGGTAAGCCCTAGCAGTGAGTATGTGAGAGAATAATAATAGCTCATTATCTCATACTACTTCTTAGGCAGATGTATACCATGTTCTCTAGACTGTTTTTGTCCATTTGGCTTCTCTCTATGCTTGCTTTCATTCTCAACAGGGCAAATCATATTTTTCCGTCACAATGATGCATGATTTTACAGTTCGGTCAATGCTCACACCTGTTTATAAAGGCCTGGTGCTGCTTGTGACTCACTGTAACCAACTTTACCTTTTCAGCTTGTATAAAAGCTCTAATAATGAATTACTGATCTTGGGATCTTTTTCAAAACACTCTTGACAAATGATCTTGGGATCTTTTTCAAAACACTCTTGACAAACTTGTGAACATTTATTTATCATAAACTTATGACAGAAGTAAAAGTGAAGGGCATTACGGTATTAGGCAAGACCTCTATATGTTTTGTAATAGCCTCACCATCTCTTTAGTGTTGT